AACATTTCCTCCCTTTCCTTTTTTTCATATGTGTTGAAGAAACAAAGACAAGAGGAATCTATTTCTGGCATATGGATTTAGTCTTCAGAGTGAAAAATCAGAATATTATGTAAGGCAACAATGATCCTGGTTATCCAAATACTAAATTTCTGTATTTTTTCTACTATAACAGAATTGTTAAGGTAACCATAAATATAAGAATTACTTAATAATTTTCAGTAACTGTGCAAGCATTCTAATTATTAGTTCATAAGTAAGGAAACTAAGGCAAAGAAAAGTGGAAAATTATATATACTCACCTGAAGGAAATAATTTATAATCATAAAAACACTACTCAAACCCCATCAAAATTAACTCCTCAGAACGGGCAGGGCACATCTTCACAACACAAGCATGTCCTGTAGCTAAACGGGAGACATAGCATCCTCCTCAACTGTCAGATGGAATACTGGCTGGAGTTGTCTGACTCATTCACAGCTACATCATCTGTGGTTCAGATAGCAAACGTTACTCTATTTTACCTCAAAAAAACTATCCTAAGATGATGCCCTTTTTGTGCCAGTTAAGCTTAAACAAAATCTCTATTTCATCTAGTGGGTCGAGGCCTGGGATGATGGTGAACATCCTACAATGCACAGGACAGTGCCCCATGAAAGAATATCCAGCCTAATATGTCAACAGTGTCAAGGCTGAGAAATCCTGTATTAAAGGAAAGCTGGTAACTGTCTCTTTTCCCCAATAAATTTGTGATATAGCATCACCATTCCCCAAATATATATATATATATATATATATATATATATATATATATATGTATATATGTATATATATATACATATATACACACATATATATATGTGTGATATATATATGTGTATATATATAATATATATAAAAATACGGTTGTCAGAAAAGTCATGACATATTTTGGCTATTCTTTTCAAAGATCATTTATTTATATGAAGAACAAAGATCAATCAATGATATATTGCCCGTTTTGTTCGATAACCTTTTGCCATCTTTCAGTGAGCTTCATAATTCCTCATTCATAGAAGGACCTGTGTTTATTTGCGAAAAACTGAACAAGATGCTGATTTACAGCCTCATCTAAATTGAATGTTATACCACGCAAGGAGTTTTGAAGACAGCAAAACAAGTGGAAGTCTGACGGCTCAAGGTTAGGTGAGTATAGTAGGTGTGGTAAAACATCCCATCCCAGCTCCAATAATTTTTGACGGGTGATCAAACTTGTGTGTGGTCTCATGCTGTCATGATGGAACACAACTCCTTTACAATTAACAAGCTCTGGACGTTTCTAGATGATGGATTTGTTCAAATTGTCCAATTGCATACAGCACACATTCAAATTGATTGTTTGGCTCTTTGGTAGGAGCTTGAAAACACGATACCTTTAAAATCCCACCACACAGAGAGCATAACCTTCTTCTGATGAATGTCTACTTTCGATGTCGTTCGAGGCGAATCATCACGTCGGTACCGAGACCATTTGCACACCACATTGTTGTAAACAATCCACTTCTCATCACCAGTTATCAGTTGTTTCAAAAAAGGATCGTTTTCCTCACATTTAATGAGCATATTGCAGATATTTATATGCGCCGTCAAATGAACTTGAATTCATGTGGAACCCAAATATCGAGCTTGCTTACGTATCCCAGTTTCTTCAGGTGGTTGTGAGTGCTTCAGTGATGGATGGTCAATGTTTCTGCAATCTCTCGTGTCGTGTAATGTGGGTTTGACTCAATCAATGCCTTCATTTTGTCGTCATCAACCTCAGTGGGCCTTCCTGACCGAGGCGCATCGTTGAGATCAAAATCACCAGCATGGAATTTCATGAACCATCGTTGGCATTGACATTCTTGTAGAGCATTGTCACTGTAAACTTTATGCAACTTTTCACAAGCTTGACGCGTGTTCTTCCCTTTATGGAAGTAAAACAGTAAAATATGACAAAAATGCACAGTTTGGTCTTCCACCTTCAGCTTGCTGTAAAATCTCTAAAACTCAACCAAATAGCTCAATTTTTTTTAGAATGAAGCTAGAACTGTCCGCTGTCAAATGACATAGCAATAACATAGATGCAAATGACTCTAGTACTTCCAAAAACGGACTAGTGCCATCTGTCGCAAACACGCGTCATGATTTTTCCAACAACCATATAACCATATATATATATATATATATATATATATATATATATACATATATAAATTTTTATTGGGTAACAGTGTGTTTTTTTCAGGACCCAGCAGCTCCAAGTCAAGTCACTGTGCTTCAATCTATTATAGTTGTGGAGGGCGCAACTCACTCCAAGTCCAGTCGCCGTTTTCAGTCTAGTTGCGGGGGGCATAGGCCACTATCCCATGCGGAAATCAAACCAGCAACCTTGTTGTTAAGAGTACGGGCTCTAACCAACTGAGCCACCCGGCCGCCTCATATTGAGCATCTATAGGGCACTAGGAAGAAGAAAAACAAGCTCACTGCCTTCCTAAACCATGCACTTCAAAGAGGAAATAAGTAAGTAAATAAGCAAGATAATTCCAGATTGTGGTATGTATTGTAAAGGAAATAAATGGATAACAACAGAGAGTAACCATGAGGTGCTGTAGATAATATGGTCAAGAATGACTTACCTTCCTGAGGAAATTAGGATGTTTTTGGTAGCAGATAACAGAAACCCCCAACTTAATTTGGCTTAAACAATAAAAAAATGTATGGCTCACATAACTGAACTCTGGAGGGTCTCAGGACTAGCTTAAACCCTGGGCTCCAACTTCTACCCAACTCCGAATGCCAGCTTCTTCTTCAGGAAGGTAGTAAGGTGCCTCATAACAATGGCCCCTACACACTCACCTGTCCCAATAAATAAATAAAGGTGGATTGGTTAATAAAGTGGGAGGCTACAAAAATGTATAACCCAGCAGGCACAGCAGTATGAGTTGAGATAGAAGGTCTGGTGCAGTGCTGGCTTTTCTTGAATAATGTTATTACTATTACTACAATTTATTAAATGCCTACTACTATCTATACTAGATGTTTTACTTATATCTAATCTTTCCAAATTCCCAGCAAGATGAATATTATCTTCATTTTACAGATGAGGAAACTGAGGCTCGCAGAAGAATTTGAAGATTACATAGATATCACCTAATAATGACATGGTTAGTGCTTTACATACATTTTCAATCATTACATGCATCCTATGAGGTGGAACACAGGAAAGCTTAGTAATGATCTCAAGGTCACGCAGCTGGCAAATTAACAAGCAGTACATATGGCCAAGATTCAAGCCCATGAAATCTAATTCCAGGAGGTTCTGGTGCTCTAACAAGCTGTGCGACAGAGTATATTAGTATTGCCCAGGATTTGAATTTGATCCAAATCTGTCTGGCTCCAAAGACCAAGAAGTATTCCTTTTCTGCACAAGTTTCCTCATATATAAAATGTGGGAAGCAGACCAAAAAAAATCTCAAAGTTCTATTTCGGTTAAAAAATGCTGTGAATCTATGGATGTTAATAAAAGATTTTGATACGCAAAAATAGTGGGGATGGGGGAGTTTTTGTAAGGCTTGCGCGCGCACGCACGGATAGCTAAGTGTCTTTTCCAATTTAAAAATACAATCACCTTTAGAATGTGACAATGATTGTTCCAATTTAAAGGCAAATTAGGTGCAGCATTTAAATGTTAAGCAGCTTGTCTAAGTGCCAAGCCAACTATAAAAAAAGCACATACTTGATCTTTAACAGAAACCTTAGGCTTTTGTCTCTGATTTAATCTCCTCAGAACTGCCATACTCTTCAGAAGTTAGATTTTTGTGAGTTTAGGTAACAACTCCTAACTTAATCTAGTTACATACGTTTGAACTGTGCTTGTACTTGTGACTGAGGAAGAGTGAAAAAGGAGCTATCGGGTAAATTAAAAAATACACCGAAGGGTATAAGAGGCCTGATAATGGCAGTGGAGTTCCACTTGTCTTTATACTTGACTCTTCAGTGAAAAGTTAACAGGGACATTGCTTTTCAGGGTTCAGATGAAACAAGAAGCAAAACGTTATCTAATAATCTATGGCTAGGAATGGCAGGGTGAAACAAGGTCTGCTCAAGACAGAGGTATCAAAAATAAGCAGAAAATGAAACTGCAGATGACTTCCAAATTACACCACATCCAAAAATGCTTTCTTAAAACAAAACAAAAAAAACCTGACATTTTACCTCACAAAAGAATATCCTGCCTGTTGATAAACACAAGAACATTTAACACAAACCCTGTGCTTATTATTCGCGGTTTAAATGGAAGTCCTTCTCCTAATTCACAATCCACCACTTGGGGGGGTAATCTAGTCAAAAACACTGAGAAGCACAAAACAAACGAGCACACAAAACAACGTGGCTGCTCAACAACGCGCGCACTAACACTTGAGAGAAGCCGGCCTCTCGCGAGAGTACCCCAAGACAAAGCCGGCCCCGGCACACACTGCGGCGGGGACTACACGTCCCAGCAAGCAAGGCGCTCACCACCTCCTCCGGGACTATGGTTCCCGACATGCTCTCGTAACAGCTGGTCGGCCTCCTCAGCGTTGGCGGTCTCTTGCCGCACGCTCAGTCTCTGCTTAGAGTCTAGGGATCGGACAGGCTCACCCACGAGTAAATTACGAAGTTCACGATTTTTCCATTCTTCACAACCGTTGGATTAGGAAAGCAAAGAGCCGGGCAGCTAGGGCGGGCGGGGTGTGGGCTGGTGGCCTGGCCGGCTGAGCCAATAGCGTAGGAGCGGCCGTGCTGCCACCATGGCAACGGCGGCCATCCCCTCAGGGACTAGGCCCCCATTGGGTAGAGAAGGCTCTAGAAGAAGGAAGCGGAAGTGGCACGTGGAGGGGCCAGCGGAGGCGCCGGTGAGTAAATGCCGCAGATTCTGGAAAGTTCTGATCAGTGCGATACATAAGGCTGAGGAGTTGGGACCTCCCCTTTTGGGTCGGTAATTGGGCGCCGAGCGGGCTGCGAGCGGTTGCGGTTCCAGGCATTCGCCGGCGCTGCGGAGCGACGCGTTTAGACTCGGCACCGCCTGCTCCCGGGGTGACTCCCCTCCCAGCCGCTACTGTTCCCTGGAAGGGCGCCCGAGTGACAGGAGGGGTCGGACCCCACGACAGAGGCGGGAAACAGCGGCCGGAGGACGCGGACCCAGACCCGGGGCGGAGGCGGACCGCGCGGGAGCCGGCCATGTCGGTGGTGGGGCTGGACGTGGGCTCGCAGAGCTGCTACATTGCGGTCGCCCGGGCCGGGGGCATCGAGACCATTGCCAACGAATTCAGCGACCGGTGCACCCCGTAAGTGGAGCCTGGGAGGGCGCTGGGGGAGGTCCTGGGCGAGAGAAGAAGCCCGGCGGGGGCTGCGGAGCGGGGGGACCCCAGGCCGGCGGGGTGGCTCCGGAGCGCCGGGCGAATGGAGGGCGGCGTGGGGGGCGTTGCGCTTCTCCGTGGGGTCAGGGCCGGGCGGCCTGGCCGGGCGCGGCGCTTACCCACAAACTGGAGAGAAGGGTGTCTATGGGGCCACGAGAAGTCAGCGAGCTGAGTCGCTCCGGGTCGTCGCTGGGGGCCGATCCCGCGACTTGGCTCTTTTCTCGGCAGGCTGAAGCCCTTCCGCGGTCGCCCCCTTTTCCCTGCCCAGCAGCTCTGAGCCGCCAAGCCGCCCCCAGCCTGTCCCCTTCCCTCCGGCCGTGTCTTCGCGCCCCGCAGGGCCAGGCTGCCGAACTTCTTCCGCATTGTGAATCTCGAAATGAATTGGAAGCTTCCAGAGCTTGTCTGCCGCTGCTTGTCCCCCGAGCAGGCGGACTGTCGTTAGCGACCATAGAGTCACTCCTTTGCTAAATGAATATGCCCTGGTTACTAACGTTGTTGTCTTCGGTTCCTGGAATCATTGTGAAAGACGGAAACGTCCTTTTTGCTCACTTCATGAGAGCCATTCAAGAGGAATCCTAAATCGTGTTATAATTCCTTTATTAATTTGGCACAGTTTACATAGAAGAGGGAAAATAAAAATTAGCTACTTCAGTACTAGAACTCTTTAAGAGGATGGATGTTGTCACTGAATTAAACGTTATGTTCGACAACAGTGTGGGGTGGGCAAAGGGCAACATTTTTAAAAGCGACCTTTTAGGCGGGCTTATTTTCTGAAGATAATTTGTATGAACATGCCTGTGTGTGCATTGATAAAAGCACCTGCTTACTTCTTAGGGAAATTAATGTAGGTGTTTATTTTTCAATGCCTTAAACGCAAGATACAGCGTGTAGAATGAAACAGGGAGCCCAAAGGTGAAATGACTGGGCTTGTATCACTATTTGAGTGCCAGATGAACATTTATGAAAGTGAGTGGAAGATTAGAAAATAGGCACTTGACAATACTGATAGCACTGGGGAGACTGTTATTCCCTGAGCATCCCATGAGTCTACCTATTTGCAAATCTGCAACCTGTTTTTAGTTGTGCAGAGGGTTCTGTAATTGGAGTCTAGTAAGAAAGAAGACGGTATCTCAGGCTTCCATGCCTAAGTGCACTTTATATCTTTGTTCTGTTTAATCCAATAAAAGAGGCTGTTCAACTGAGGATAGGAAAAACTGTGTGGCTGTAGTGACCACTGTGAAAGTAAAGACAACAGGTACACCTCTAGAAAATGTAAACGAGGTTAGGGTTGGAGTGCCCTTTAATGTTTTTGATAAAATAGATGTTTGACTGAATTGTATTGGCTACTATTAATTTGTGTTTTAATTTGAGTCCCTTTGGAAAATGAGTAAATTCGTTCTGCAAGTTCTAGGCTCAGAATGATACTCTGTTTTTGGAAGATACCTTAAAGGTCTAGCTTGAACACTTCTTTGTTTTGGGATGCTATTTGGCACCTGCTCAGCTAACCTAGGTCTAGGATGTCTCTATTAGAGCAAGTTTAAACCTGATTCAGCCTGGTACTTCATGCCCTCCTCAGTATGTTCCCATTTTGTTCATCTTATTTATCAGTACTCCTACCTGCCCTCCAATCTAAAACCCAATCCACCTACCTACCTCCTGACTCTAATGTGCTTGTCTGTGCTACATTCCATTTCCATCGCTGGAAAGCTGAGTTTTTCATACCTTCAAAGCTGACTTAATATACTTGATTATTCACCCCATTTCCTCCGCATTTGTCCTTGGTTCTGCTGTGGTGCTCTCTCTGTATCATTCTTACTTGACTTTCCAAAGTAGAGTCTTCCATGTAGGGACCCTTTTTCTAAGTTTATGCTTTTAAATTCCTGAAGCATAACTTAGGCTTACTTGAGTGGATTTATAGAAAAACTTTTGATCCTAAAAAGACAGATGGTATATGAGGACAACAATAAGAATGAAATGATATTTGGTTTGTAGAATAGGGACTGAGAAGTAGAGGTACACCATATTTTTTGTTAATCATGTGTCTAGGACCAAATTAATACACTTTAACTGTTCAAAGCATTTTCAAAGTTAATGTCCACCACATAATAATTGGGGACCTGGAGAATTATTCTAGTACTTGAGGTATTGGAAAATGTCCCCTGAGCCATGAGCAGACTTTGGTGGGGGAGGTGCGTAGGACTGCCCCCTAGATTGGATTCTCAGAGTAGCAGTTAAGTGGACTCCCTCTGAGTATTTGACCAAAGCTTTAGACTTCAAAATTGCACTGTACTCATGCCCCCTCCTTGCCCCAAACCATGGGTAGTTAATTTATTTTAGATTTTTTTTTCCTTGTTAAAAATGCCCACATGTATGCTTTTAACTTTTTTGAGATGTGTTTTGTGTACCTTACAGATCAGTCATATCATTTGGACCAAAAAACAGAACAATTGGAGTTGCAGCCAAAAATCAGGTATGTTGTTTAGGAGAATTCTGGTCTGTTTTTAAGGGGCATGTTTTAAAAGTAAAATCTCAAGGACATACAAGAGTATGAAATATCTAAGCCCATCATCCTTTTTTGAGTTTTAGTGATGTGATGCAAGTATTCTTTATGAGCCCTTAGATGGCTCTTTTTTCCTTCTGTTTCCTTCCTCTTGTTTCATTGAATAAGGTCTACTTTAACTTTCTAATTTGCCAACCTTAATTTTCAGTAACTTAACTACCGTCTAATTTATGTAGTTTATGTGAATTTTCTCATGACACTCATTTAAGAGTTAAAGATTCCAGAAGTTCTGTGTTTAAAAGCATTTTCAAGTTACTTAGTAATTAAGGTGGACTGGTAGAACTTTTTGTCTTGACCTGTGCTGTCTTATATGGTAGCCATTAGCTACCTGTGGCTGTTGAGCACTTCACATGTGCCTAGCCTGAATAGAAAAGTATAAAATTCTTGAGATTTTGAACAGTTAAAATGAAATAAAGTACGTATCTCATCAATGTTTCATACTGAGTACATGTTAAAATAATATTTTAGATTTATTAGGCTAAATAAGCTATTGAAATTAATTTCACCTGTTACTATTTAATATGACCAGATAATTTACATATGTAGCTCCCATTTAGGGCCTCTACATTTGGGGTTGGGGGAAAATAAAAAAGTATGAAATATGAAATCCCTTGAGAGGCTTTCAGAAAGAGACTGAAAAAATTATTTTAAATAGAGAAAATAGTATTGCTAATAGTAATAATAAAAAACCCTGGAGTACTGTATTATGGCTAGTTGGAAGAGAAATACGACAAAAGAGGGGAAAAGCAAAGGAGAGAAGAGAACTACGCTCCAGGGAAAGTTACTTATATCCCCGTGGTTTGAGTTGTACAAGTGAGTTCTTTGAAAATTGCTCTAAGTACTGATAGGTGTTGAAATTAGAAAATAATTAAAAATCTCGATTTCTTTTGCAGCAAATCACTCATGCAAACAATACTGTGTCTAACTTCAAGAGGTTTCATGGCCGAGCATTCAGTGACCCCTTCATTCAAAAGGAAAAGGAAAACTTAAGTTATGATTTGGTTCCAATGAAAAATGGTGGAGTTGGAATAAAGGTAATAAAATTGAGCAACCTTAGATTTTCTTAATGGGAAACAAAATTCATCTGTAGAGAAGTACTTAATTCTTAATGAAAATTTAACACAAATTTCTTAATTGGACAGTATGGTCTTTTTATTTATTTATTTATTTTTAAAGATTTTTATTGGGGAATTGGGGGAAGGGGAACAGACAAGTTGCTGTTCTTTTGTTCTTCATTCTAGTTGTGGAGGATGTTGCTTCACTGGCCCAAGTTGGCACCATCATTGCGCTCTTCCCAGGCGAGGCAGATCAGTCACCGGCTTCTGGACAGCCGCTCAAGCTGGCTGCTGGCCGCTCATGCTGGCTGCTGGCTACACACGGTAGCCCATGGCAACCCACTGCAGCAGGGACTGCAGCCTATGCCCTCACTGGCAACTCACGGCAGGCCAGCTCCAAGTTGAGCTGTTGTTCAGCATCTCAGCTGTGAGGGCAATGTCACTGGCCCTCATATGTGGGATCCGAAGTGGGGCCCTCTGGCATCCCAAGCCAGCTCTTAACTAATGTGCCACTCAGCCGGCCCGGTCTTTTTATTTTTTATCTCGCTTCTTTTAAAGTGTAGGTATGTCTTTCACCTGTCTTTGAAATTTGCTCAAATGGTATGTAATGATATAACTTATGTGTGTTTCTTGTAACTTCTTGACAATTGTAAAACTTTAGGTTTACTTAGTGGTGTTTAAAAAGATCTAAATTGTGTTATCATCTCAAACAGAAGTCTGTTCCAGTGCAGCCCAGTTGCAGTTGTTGGGAGAGCAATCTTGTAATACAATCAGAAATCTTTTTTTAAACTAACAGAGACATTCCTATCTTGTGATCTACACAAACTAATATTTATCCCAGTGATTCATATCTTTAGTTAGAGTGGAAATTTACTACCTTTTACAATGTTTTGACTAATACTTTGGATAGGGGAAAATACGCCCTAGAGGTTTTTTTTCCTCCTTTTCATCTCTAGGGAAAAGTTCTTTTTTCCTTCTTTTCTTTGCTGGCCTTTCCCTTTTTCCTTTCCTTTCTTCCCCTCCTTCTTCCCTAAACAGCTATAACAATAAAGATTTCTGGAAAAGGATATGTAGTAATGGAAGTTAGTAAGTAGCTTTAGGTACCACTGTTTTTAAAACATCTTTCCCCCACACAGGTGATGTACATGGATGAAGAGCATCTGTTTAGTGTGGAACAGATAACAGCCATGCTGCTGACAAAGTTAAAGGAAACTGCTGAAAGCAACCTCAAGAAGCCAGTAACAGATTGTGTTATTTCAGTAAGTAGAGTTCAGCAAGGTCATACATTTTGTTTTAATTTGTCTGCTTTGTGTTACTTTTAAGCATCCAGTGTATGAAAGCCGTTCCATTACTAGAGATGAAAAATCTATGGGGACTGTCTTAACATAGTGGTTGGGAGCATTTTGGAGTAGGTTCCAGTGGTATTTTTAGACCAGAAGTTGTGAAGCTTCTTGACTGGAGATACAAGTCTAAGCCTATTCCTGTGGAGCTTTTTGGAAATACAGATTGGTCGTATCCGGTGATATTCTGATAGTTAATGCACTATTAGGCTACTTATATACTTACTTGGGAGCTTTTCCCAATTACCCCCCGGTTGAGAGCCATTGCATTATAAGCTTTAAAAATTAAAATGTTACCTACCAATAGTGATAAAACCTAGATTTTCAGTACCTGGCAACCCACTACCTTCAATGGACAATTAATTGATAGGTAATGGACAAAAGCCATTTTTTATTTGGACACCAGAAAGGTAGTTTTAAATTCTGCTCTCCCAAATGTCTAGGGCCACTTGTTGATCTGCTGTGCCCCAGGACTGTCGGTGATGGACTGACCTACACCAGGGTGTTTGCGTCACAGCAGACCACCAAGAGCCTTTATGACAGTGTGGCTTAGGATTGGGAAAAACAGGCAGATGGGCTAAAATTCCTCCTGTTTCTATTGTAAGGCAGAAGGTGGTCTACTAAAGGCATACCTGCCTGTCGCTTGGAGAAATTATGTTAATCTCTGGTAAAATTAAAGAATTTAGTTACAAGTCAGGGGTCCTTTTTTTTTTTTACTTTAAATAACCTGATGAAAAAAACTGATATAAGCAGCTGATTTGAAAGGTGCTCCTACCTCTGTTTCTGAAGCATCTACATGTACTTTGGGGGGGAAAATGCAAAAGCCACAGTACTGAGTTTTCTTAGGAAAATCAGCAGACTTTGCCAAAAAATGTTTCGGTCATCTTAACAGGTCTACTGAATTCCAAGACACCCCTTATCTATTAATGGTTGAACTCAACAAAGAGGAGAAAACTAAAGGGCGGTGGCATGTGCTAGAATTCGCTCTGTATTGTCGTCAAGCTCCTGTACACAATACCTATAGTTGATTATATTTCACATTAAATGTTGACAGCATTATAATTTCCAAATGTCAGTTGAAATTTAAGACTACTTTGCAAATGGTATTTTATCCACATAAATTTAAAGCTTTCTATTAGATTTAAGCAACTGCCAATGTCTTATGAATATTTCTGGTTTTTTTAATTTCATGTTAAAATTTGGAGTATTCATAAAACAGCAGTTGCTTAAATCTAATAGAAAGCTTTATGTGGCTACTATAATTTTAGGGCAATCTTTTCAAAAGTAGTTACTGTTCTGAAGGTTAAGGAACTTGCTAGAAACTAGAGATTTATTTCTGTTTTATGACTTGGCTAAGCACCTATTTAGCTGGACTATTATGAATTTATTAAAAGTGATTTTGAGGAATTTGTATCTATTTTGGTGTTCTAGATCATTTATACTTCTTTCATTGTTTGTAGGTCCCCTCTTTCTTCACAGATGCTGAGAGGCGCTCTGTATTAGATGCTGCACAAATTGTTGGTCTTAACTGCTTAAGACTTATGAATGACATGACAGCTGGTAAGAAAACACTATGTGGAGTGAGTATGCTATCAAAACTAGAGTTAAGACACGCCAGGTACTACTACTAAACACTTCATGTAGGTATAGAAATACAGTCTATTAAAAAACGTGTTAGGTTCGAAAGCAAAAATTGCAGTTTTTTAGATGGCTATGTTTAATGAGAAATGGGCACTTTGTCAGATTTACGAATCTGTTTTCATTAAAACATTTTTTTCTGTATATATTTCCTTACATTGTTTTTATAGTTAAGAAACAAGTTTTCCCTAAACCTTAGGATTCTGGGTTTCACGACTACCTTGCCTACAATTATTGATTTAGTTAAACATTTTTTCCTCATACATTTCCCAGATACATGTAGTGTTGGGCATTGATCAGGTACCTCTGTCAGGTATTGACTTCACTGTCCTTTTGCCAGGCATGGGGTCAGGTATGGAAATAGTGGTGAGCAAAGTGGTCACTGTTACCTCCTGGAGCTTTTATCGGTTTATTAGGATTAGAGATGAGCAAAAGTCAGGTACAGTTCAAATCAGGTAAAGCAAATAAGACTTTTTTCCAGCATATTTCTAGTAGACTTTTTAAAAGTCTTAAATTTTCAATGAAGGTTTGTTCTTAGGTATACATGTTTAGAAATAATGGTGGTTTCAAAGTTCAGAAAAAGCTAACACAGACTCTTTAAAGGAGGTTAGGTCAGTTATTTGCCTCGAATCTAAAAATAATTGTAGGAACTGCAGTTGCTGTAGTTGTATATAAAATTTTTAATTTTTTTGGATGAGCAGTCTCCTGGCAGTTTGTGGTTAAAATGTAAGTATTGTGTAATGAGTCTGATATTGTTTGTGGTAATGTCATTGTAATCACCCCGTGTATGTCTTCTCCATCATGTCTCCCCACGTGTGGAAAAGTGATAGACCTAGACCATTGTTCAAAAATTAGAAAATGAAAAAGTGATAGATGCCAATAAAATCTTATGAAGTCAGGTATAAAAGGAATGTATTCAGCTTTAATTATTTGAAGAATACTCAGGTTTCCTGTATGTAATTATATTGGTAACAATGAAATTCCTAAGAAAATGTGAACCAAAGAATTGAAACATACTTTTTTTTTTTTTTTTGGTAGTTGCTTTGAATTATGGAATTTATAAGCAGGATCTCCCAGGCCTGGATGAGAAACCTCGGATAGTGGTTTTTGTTGATATGGGACACTCTGCTTTTCAAGTGTCTGCCTGTGCCTTTAACAAGGGAAAATTGAAGGTAAAGTCAGAAATTGGAGCTAAGTGATTAAACATATTAAATGTGTTATATCTGCCATTACTTTATTACTTTGAGGTGCTGAGCTGCCTAACTCTGGTCTTGTTATCAACCAGGAACTGTTCTTAAGTTTGATCTTTCTTTATAAAGACGATGTCTTGGTATACTTTAATATTCTTGCTTAGGAGGTATACTTTAATATGCTTACTTAGGAAAGAATCTTTTTAAGATCATCTTCTATATATAATCATTAAAAGTCAAAAATATCTTAGAGGTTTAGGATTGCATTTGGGATTTGTGGTCCTGCTTCTCCTGACTTGGATTTCATGCTGTAATTTAAATAGAAGCCTTGAGCCCGTTATTCATTGTTTGAGTAGCAACATTTAAGATTCTAGTTAAAAATATAATAAAAAATAACCAGATTATTTGTTTTAACTAAATTAGGTACTGGGAACAGCTTTTGATCCTTTCTTAGGAGGAAAAAATTTTGATGAAAAGTTAGTGGAACATTTTTGTGCAGAATTTAAAACTAAGTACAAGTTGGATACAAAATCCAAAATTCGAGCCCTGCTTCGTCTGTATCAGGAGTGTGAAAAATTGAAAAAGCTAATGAGCTCCAACAGCACAGACCTACCACTGAATATTGAGTGCTTTATGAATGACAAGGATGTCTCCGGAAAGATGAACAGGTGTGTCTTGAATTCTGCCAGATTAAATAGAAAGCGCTTCTTACTGAATTAGAGGGTTGGTTCTAGCTGTGGTGCTGTGCACCTGGGCCCACATTCCAAGATTGTGTGCTGCATGCTGGGAAGACTGTTAACACCGTCAGAACCCAGGGCACTTTAGAGCTTTGCCAAGGGCCCTCACAATGAATCTACTTTTTAGTATTTCTGGGCCAGTAATTAAATAGTGGTTTCACAAAATATATTTTGAACTGAATGGAAATATTCAAAGTAATGAGAATTGGATCACATAAAAAGTTTAGGAGAAAAATGAAATCTTAATATGAAAGTGATCCTTTCAGTGACACCAGTAGAACTGATTTTTTTCCCCCATCTCCTTTCTGCACCTGTTTTGTTTATTTATTTATTTTAACTTTTTTTTTTTTTTTAAGATTTTATTGGGGAACTGAGGGAGGGGAACAGTGTTGGGGAATTCGGGAAGGGGACCAGCCAAGTTGTTCTTCAGTCTTTGTTGTGGAGGGCGCCAGTCGCCATCTGGCTGCCCATTGGAAGCTCGTGGCCTCTAAGCTCAAGGTGCTGAGTTCAGTCTTAGTTGTGAGTGGGCATAGCCCCCCATCGCACAATCTTGTTACACCAGCTGAGCCATCCTGCCACCTGTCGGCAGCTCAGCGACAGCTCAGCTCGGGTGCAGCGTCACTGGCCCACGTGGGAATAGAACCGGCGGCCCTGTTGCTCAGAGCTCACACTCTTAAGCCAACACTCTTAACCAACTGAGCCACTTGGCCGGTCCCTGTATATTTATTTTTAAGAAAAGTTACGAATTATAGTGTAGTTAAACTTGGTCCATGTGGAATCCAGTGTGTCTGATATAAAAGTGAATTTCATTGGGTTGATGAAATTCATTGTTTAAAAACAATAGGACGGGCTGGCCGAGTGGCGCATTGGTTAAGAGCTGGCTTGGGATGCCAGCTCTGAGCAGCAGGGCCCCGGTTCGGATCCCACATGGGGGCCAGTGACAGTGCCCTCTACAGCTAAGATGGTGAAAAACAGCTTGACCTGGAGCTGGGCTGCCGTGAGGCGACAGCGTAGGCTGCAGCCCCTGCTGCAGTGAGCTGCCATAAGCTACCATGTGTGGCTGGCAGCCAGCTTGAGTGGCTGGCAGCCGGCATGAGCTGCCAAGAGCCACAGTGAGAGGCCATCCAGAGCCCGGAGACCAATCTGCCTCATCCAGGAAGAGCGCAATGATAATACCAACATGGACCAGTGAAGCAACGTCCTCCACAACCAGACTAAAGAACAAAAATGACAGCAACTTGTTTGTTCCCCTCCCCCCGATTCTCCAGCGCTGTTCCCCTCCCCCAATTCCCCAATAAAATCTTTAAAAAAGAAAACAAAAACACAATAGGACAGGATATTGGCCTTTAGGTTACTTTTCTAAAGATTTATAAAGTATTTTCTTACTTGTCAAGAGCACAATTCGAAGAACTTTGTGCTGAACTCCTGCAAAGGATAGAAGCTCCCCTTTATTCACTGATGGAACATACTCAGCTCAAAGTTGAAGACGTGAGTGCTGTTGAGATAGTTGGAGGTGCTACACGAATTCCAACCGTAAAAGAAAAAATTGCCAAGTTCTTTGGAAAAGATGTCAGCACGACACTGAATGCAGACGAAGCGGTAGCCAGAGGGTGTGCTCTGCAGGTAAGGCGTTCTGGGCTCTCCTGGTGCTCAGGCCTGAGACAGCTCCATTTCATTTCATCATGGGGGATCATGCAGTAAGCAGAGCCCGGTGCTTAATACATAGCACAAGGGAGTTACTGCAAAATCCATAAGTCTGTGGGGAGACGAGGATCTTCAAGTATGGGAGATGCAGTAAATTTAAGATTAAAAGAACGGTGGAGCTAGTGGAGACGGTGGAGCTAGTGGGGAGTGGGAATGGGCATGATTCTGGGGGCTCACAGAAAACAACCGTAATGTAATGCACGAATTAGCTGTGTGGCAGTGACAGTTGTTAAAGCACATAGGAGAGGGTTCAAATGGCAATCTGGTTTAATACGGAGTTAATGAGGGGGTCGTTTGCAGGGTTAAAGGTATTAACAGGTGGTATTAGGAAGTAGCTGCTTCTCCCTCCGGATTGATTTTAACCTTACAAAGTAAGAATGCAGCTCAGAGGCATGGAGTTTATTTGGTAAAGCAAAAGCACCAAATCTAGCAGTTCCTGATAAAAAAGAAAAATTTTGCTATACTAGTTTTCAATTTAAATTTTTATACTAGTTTATACTTAGGACATTATAGGGAAATAAGCAGTTTTAACTATAACTTCAAGTTAATGTGCTTGACTTTTGATCTGGTTAGCACAGGTGTGTTTTTTTTAATGTAAAGCAAGAGATTCTGCAGACAAAGGTAATTAGACACTAGACTACCCTTTAAAACTTAAAAAAGGAGAATATGTAGATACTGAGTATTACTGCTAATCTATTGTAACATCATAACCCATTGTGAGGTTTTGGTTTTTGCTTTTTCCTTGACAATTCCTCCTTAAGTAATTCCCAGAAACATTGGAGTTTATACTTTAGAAGTGTAGCTGCTTTTGGTCTCTTTTGAAGGAGCCTATGCTAATCAAAAGTTAATTGACTTTTATTTTAGTCGTGTATTTAGTCTACATCCACCTGTCAGGTGTTTACCTCAAATTTGAATTTACCATTGCTTCCTTCATTTATAAAATCACTTGAAAGTTGTGAACATTTTGGGTTTTACCAACTTTTTCGGTTTCTTCACACTTGAAAGACGAAAGATAATGCAGGCAGAGCTGTGCATGTGCATACATACTCAGACATGAGGTAGCTTGTCCTTGAAACTGCTGTCGGTGGGGCACGAAGACCGGTGCTCTTTTCCCAAGCCCCCATGAAACTTGCTAGTAATTAACAGGCACCATCCTGAGTCATTATATTATACGTCGTTACAGCCAGTGATTGGCATTGGAGTTATGATAAATCATTTATGCTTAAGATGATAATACACTGTTAAGTAATTTTGAAGTTGACTTTAAACCTACCCATGTCTTTTGAATTATGTTAAAAGGTGAATGAAATTATTCATGTACTCATGATAATCCTTCCTTTCTTTTTTTAATTTTCTTTCCCCTTAAAGTGTGCAATCCTGTCCCCAGCATTTAAAGTTAGAGAGTTTTCTGTCACAGATGCAGTTCCTTTTCCAATATCTCTGGTCTGGAGCCATGACTCAGAAGATACCGAAGGGTAAGTAGCAGAGAATAATTTTCAGATTATGTATTTTAATATAAAGAAGAAAGTTCACAAGTGACTTTGACAGCAGTGTGATTAATTGGGGTCTTTCAACAACTGAACCTACAAAGTATCTCTTTTTGGTGTGATAAATGGTGACATAAATAGTGAGATAGACTTGATAGCAATTTTGGAATGCTTCTGTTCTGTTTGTGTGGCACAGTTAGCATTAAGTACTTGATGCACTGCCTCCTTTGCTTCCTCTAGTGTTCATGAGGTGTTCAGTCGGAACCATGCCGCTCCCTTCTCCAAAGTTCTCACCTTCTTGAGAAGTGGACCTTTTGAGCTGGAAGCTTTCTATTCTGATCCTCAAGGAGTTCCTTATCCAGAAGCAAAAATAGGTAAGCAATTAATAGTGTGTATTTACTCTTTTAAATACTTAACTTTGTGTACAAACTTGAAACTTTCTTATTAGCAGTGTTGAGTGGAACATAATTCTGTGTGAAGACCTTTTCAATTTAGATAACGGTGATGGAGAAACCTCTTGTTGATGAATGAACTGGCCTATAGAGATGAAATGACTTGCTAGTGCTCTGTTACTTCCGAGTATCTATATTTAGGGATTTTTCATATTCTAATGTCATCTACATTTAGAGGATTATAAGCTACTTCTAATATTGATCTTTCCTCCAGGTGAAACGTTTCTTGTAGAATGTTACTTCCAATTTAAAGCCTGGCTCAGAAACCATTGAGACTACTTTTCAAAAGTACTTTTGTATTTTAAAAAATGTGCCTTTTTTGGTACATTTTTCTTGGAGAGGCTTGACACTGTTTTCATCTAGTTTGACCCACAGTAACTCTGGAAATCTGTGGGAGAGCTGCAGACATCTTCTTAAGCAGCTATGTCTCTCAGGCTGTGGGTAAAATGTGCGGATGTTGCTAGATCTTTCCAGGACTCACTCTTGCCCACAGCTTTTTATAATGAAATTGTTGGAAGGAGTCTGAGATGCCTCTGGACAGTTGTGTGGTTTTCTTACTAAAGACTAAAAGTATTCTGACACAGAGGAATTTTTTTAAAGTTTGTGCAGATTTATTGGGAAGAAATTAATTTGAGAAGTCCTTGAATATAGATTAAAATTGTAACAGGAAGTATTGTATGCATGATTTCTCCATCGTGCTAAGGGTAAAATCCAAGCTCTTTAGCCTAGCACTAGATTTTTCATTTATCAAAACTGAAGAAGCATGCACATACTTAAATCTCTCCCCTGTGAGCTTCCTTGGATACCCCATAAGGTCTTCTCTTTAAATGGGTCTTATGGCGGTCATTTTCTGAACTAATGATTCAATCATTAATGGAGGTAGATTCCAACATCTTCTGCTGTCTTAGTAGTTAAGTCTAACTTCTGTGTGTCTGTGTAGCCAGCCCCTTAAATACAAGGCTGTTGGGTAGTGCTTTGTACATAATAGGTTCAGAATACTTCGTTGAGGTTCCGTGGACTCTGGGACCACAGTGCTGTTGGTGGAGATGCTTGGTTCTGGGTGTTACATTCTCCCAGTGAACGCCAGCTCAGCACACAGAAGCAGGGGCAGGTTCAGCAGCTTACAGCAGGCCATACAGCTGGGATTGGAGCTCAGGTCATTGGGGTCAGAGTCAGCACTGTTCACTCATACTCAGTCATGCTCTGGAACTACTCCGTCCTGCATAATAATTTCAGGCTTTGATACAGGTTTTTAGCTCACCTTGCTATTGAAAACAGGAAACTTGTGATTAATCACTCAAAAAAACCATGCTCCTGAAGGACCCTGCAGGAATAAAATGCAGCATGTCCTGATACCATCTGCTTTTCACTTGCTGATGGGTTTTCACGTCTAGTTCGTGCTTACTCATCTGGAGAAGTAGGGCAGAGGAGGCAGTAACTGCTGGTTGTCACTGTTAAACAGTGTCCATGTCAGAAGCGTGAAGTAGTGGAGGTTTCGTGGCGTATTGAGACAAATCCCAAGTATTGTAAGCATACTAGAGACTCCTAAGCCTATTTTGACAGGTTATGTTTATAGTATACATTAAAGGACTTCAATCTAATTCAGCTGGTAGAGAAAATGGGGAGATTTTGGGAGAACAGTACTTGGAGCTTTGTTATTAGCCGCTGTTGTCTTTACAGATGTAGGTTCAGTTCTAAAATTGTTAAGTTTCCTTTTGTTCAGGCCGCTTCATAGTTCAGAATGTTTCTGCGCAGAAAGATGGAGAGAAATCGAGAGTGAAAGTGAAAGTACGAGTCAACAGCCACGGCATTTTCACCATCTCTACAGCGTCTATGGTGGAGAAAGTCCCCACCGCGGAGAGCGAGCTGCCTTCTGTTGAAGCAGACATGGAGTGTCCAAGTCAGAAGCCGCCAGAAAACCCAGACTCAGATGTAAGTCTGTGGGGGAGGCCTGGAGTCTGAGTAGGTAGTTGACTTAATTCTAAGCTGTAAGGAAGGGTTAAAACAGGTCCTTTTTAAGGTTGATTAGAATTTTGGGTAATGATGATAATAGCAATTGGCTATATGATTGTAATATACAGGTATACAGCCTGGAATGTGGTGAATTGTGGTTAAATTCTCTGTAGCTTCTTTCGAACTGGCATGTGACATTTTAATTGGAGTAGGTCAAATTTCTTTGAATTATGTTTTTAAAGACAGTCCACATTTTGAGAAGTCAGATGTTGACTGGTGATTAATAAAAAAAGACTTGCAAGAACTATTTGGTGAAATACGTGCCAAATATTAAAGCCTTTTTTCTTTTTTTATAAAAGTTACATGGCTAAATAGGCTTTGGTATTTCCATACTTATTTGCTTTATTTTACATGGTTCATTATACTGTGGGAGGAAGGAAGAAAAGTGTCTGTGCAAAGTTGCTGTTTGTGTTCTTAGATTTCCTTTCACTTAAGTGCTAATTTTACACAGTCAACAGAAGAACTTCAAGACACTTTGAGATTGAACCGCTGTTATAGTTTACTTTTGGGTAATAATCAGAAATAGCTTAAATGAAGAGGCAGGCAGTATAGTGTTTTAGTTAAGATGGGAGAAAGTGTGGTACCTTGTGATCAGAGACCTGTATTATCGTTATTTCTAGAACACAGAATATCAACATCTGAGCCCTAGTGGTGGTCTCATCTAGAAAAACTTCAGTGGAATGAGTTAGATAAGCAGTGCCATGGACTTGCTCATGCGGCTCGGACACCGTTCTAATGCCTGTTGTATCAGTGTCTGGATAGACACTTCTGGGTAGACCAGGGGTGCCAAAAAAATGTGTACGCATGACTTGTATTCATCTTCTGTTGTCGGTATATATTGAGTATTACAGTTTTAATACAGTTTTTTCCGTTCTTAAAATGTATATACATTTTTTTGGCACCTAGTTTACCGTATTTCCCATGTATAAGATGCACCTTTTTCCGAAAAATTTGGGTCAGAAAACTGGGTGCGTCTTATACAGTGGTTATAGATTTCAAATGCCATAGATGGAACTGAGGACGAGTTAATATATGAAGACGGTGATTTGTCATCAGACACACATGAGGACAAGCTAATGGTTGGGAGTTTTGACAGTGATGAGTTGTATGAATTTTATGATGAATAAAATGAGTTCAATAACTTTATGTAATACATTTTTTTTTTCAAATTTCAGGCCCCAAAATTAAGGTGCGTCTTATACATGGGGAAATACAGTATATCAGGAGTGCCTGGCTTCTGAACACTTTAGCGTCTGCTTAGAGTCTCAAAACTCTGACACAAAAAAATGAGAGCCTTCAGGGTGGGCAGAGAGGATAGAGGGTACTGCCATGTAGCATAGATTCTTTATGGTGAGATTGTTTGGTTGTAACTGGCTGGATCACAAACAGTCGGGGTTGGGTCTTGAGTGTCTGAGCTGTCCTGATGAGCCCCTGAAGACGTAAAGGTTGGCTAGTTCACGTAACTGTTCAGTTCACTGAGATGGAGACACGTCCCGGTGCAGGCTGGCTCCCGATGAAACAGTTTTGGAAGCTTGTTTCTGGGACAGACCTGGAGTTAAACCTATTTCCTTTGGTGCTGAGAGTCAGTATTTATAAGGCTAGGTGGAAATACTTAACCAAGAGTCCTCAGTTGTCATCATGTCAACATGCCTACTATTTGTTATTTATGTCAACTACTGTCATTCATGTTACCTTTTTACAGGTTTAAAGTTTCTAAGAAGTTGTCAGGTATTTTGTGTTCATTTTGCTTTATCCAGTATCCTTTTCCCCCCACCTGGTAAGGTTTCAGAAATTGAGTGTATTGTCTCTGGTGCCCTGTAATTTTTACATTCACCCAAGTACACCTGTTTTCTACATCCTTTGTGCCTGGGCTTTCATTTCAGAAAAGTATCCAGCAAGACAGCAGTGAAGCTGGAACACAGCCCCAGGTACAAACTGATGGTCAACAGACTTCACAGTCTCCCCCTTCACCTGAACTTACCTCAGAAGAAAACAAAACCCCAGATGCTGACAAAGTGAGTGACTCTTCTAGTTCATTCCATTGGACAGTGTTGCAACATGTGATCATTAATCATATCATTAAATCTGCAGTTTGAAGAGCAAGCGCCAAGTTAGTTATTCTATGTAGGATATTTTTCTGTTAATTTTCTATGTATTTCAACCAAAACCAGTTGAAGGTACTCAAGCTCAGCTAAGTGATTGAATATCCTGCTTTAGACCTGAAGTCTTCTCTTGATTAACTGCCACTCCAGGACATGAGTGCTTAGCATTGTTTGTCTCTGTGCCAGAGGCCCTGCCAGTGCGAGGAGCAGAAACACAGCTCCCAGTGCTGGGTTATTGGTTTCCACTTGGATCAGCCTGATGATAAATGCATGGGCTGCAGGAGTCTAGGAAACTGTCTTCTCCTCTCACATCTGTCAGATTTAAATAAATAAATGAGGATGATCTGAAAATACCCAGATTGCATTTCAAAGTAATTACTCTTTGCCTTGCTTCCACAGTATGTACTGGAAGCTAAATTAAAGAATTGTGTTCCTTTAACTGTGTTGGTTTCTAATTAAACCTTTAAAATTCATGGTCAGCTGACTATCGGGAGGTTTCCTTTGTTTCTCCAAATCACTCTGCTTTGCAGAACTTTATTCTTTGTGCAAGTTGCATGTAAATGGTTAACCTTTCATGAGTGGTTTGGCTTTTCTCACATTCTGATAGAGCTCTTTACCCTCAGATGAATTATGGACCTATTTGGAGTCAAAATACGTTTTATGCCTGAGAGAAGTTCTCAGTGTGTGATATCCCTGTGCCCTGATAGATCCTGTGGGGTGTTGATCCTGGTTTCTGCCAGCCTTCCTGTTACATGGTGCTGGCAGGGAAGCACTGCCTTCTCTGTGGTAACAGCTCCATCATCACTTAACCTGGAGCATTAACGGGCACTTGCCCATAGTCTCTTATTTGTCTGGAACATGCTATTGGTAGCATTTCATGCTCTTAGCTGTAGGTGGGGGCACCAGTGTCAGGCAGGCCCTTGGGAACATTCTCACACACCCCCTCAGAGGCGTCCTTGTGTGTGCCACGGTGAGTGCCATTTTGTGACACATTGGTTTTGTCGGGACTTGGTTTAAGATTGTACTGCCAGATAGTCTTCTCCTGACTTAACTGCCAGACATGGACTGTCATCCATTCGTTTCTCAAATACCCGTTGCACCCTGTGTTCTGCTGAGTGTAGGTGTCATCTGATCCCTTTGTCATTCCTGTGGTTCATGCCCCCAGAACGTCACAGTGTATTGGAGGGGTCTCTTGTGCACCAGGGAGAAGAGGACACAGGGGCCGCAGGCTGGCTGGGCCATTGCTAGTGACACAGTTTCTGACACTTGGCAGATAGAGACTGCTAAGGAACACTGAAGTAAAGGTCCCATCTCAGTGTTTGTGATTTTAGACAAGCCACTAAACCTCTTTCAAGTCCCACTTTCTTCTGTAAAGTGCCTAGAATTTTAACGCCTTTTAGAGCTCCCTAGGGTGTCAGTGGCGGGTGATGCTGTGACCTGTAGGCCAGCCTCTTCCTATTTTAGCACCCCAACCAACCAGCGTACCTGTGATACCTCCCACTTATCCTCTATTCTGTTTCCTACATTATGTGTTTCATTGCTTGTGCAAGTAGAATTCTGCAGAAATGGAAATTCATAGAACAGGCTTGGAAAATTAGAGGCCATAGGAAATGCTTACTTCTTTAGCCCTGTATTTATATATTTTGAAAAACCTACAATAAACCGTTAGCTTTCTCTGCATCACCCCATTTGCTATTTTAAGACTCTTATCTCTTCAGACTTTGCGGAGCTGCTTATGAGAAGTAATACGACTCAAAGGCATGTAGAAGGAATGAGGATATACATACAGAAGGTGCCAAAAAAAATTATACACATTTAAGAAAGGAAAACTGTATTAAAATTGTAATACTCAATGTATACCGATAACAAAAGATGAATACAAGTCATGTTTGACTTCTGCAATTACAAGAGGTACTCAAAGTGGTTACCGTCAGCGTCCAGACACTTCTAATTACGGCAGATACTACTTGAGCAGCACTGAGCAGTGTCCACTTGTATACATTTTTTGCCACCCCCAGTATACCTCTCCCCACATGTGTGTGTGATCTCCAAATTCAGTAGGAAATTGTAAAAGGCACTCATCAGTGTGGTGCTAATTGTAATTAAGGCAGGTATAATACTGGGATGTAGGAACTCAGATATATCAGTACGGTAGTGCAATAGTGTTGATCCTGACATGTCTAGCATTGGCCAGTCTGTCGTTGGTCACTCTCAGATTCTAGACTATAAAGATGTGGCTATTTAATAATATTTTTGACTTCAGAATCACAAACATTACTTAAAGGGATTAGAACGTAAAGATCTACAAAGCAAAGCTTTAGCAGGAGAGCAAGTTTACCATGAAAAGAGAAGAATGTCCTGGTGATTTCTCCAAGGCGAATGTAGCCTGCTTGAATGTGATTGCGGCCCTGATTTAAAGTGGGCCGGTGGGAATCAGGTGACCTTATAACTCTTCCAACTGCAAAGTTGCAGGGGTTTTCGTTTTGCCTAGGTCACCAGCAAATATGATGAGAGTTTTGCTTTTCTGGTTTTTAAGGATTATTTAAGAATTCCCCCGCCCCCCCCCCTTTTTTTTTAACCTTCCCAAGGCAAATGAAAAGAAAGTTGACCAGCCTCCAGAAGCTAAAAAACCCAAAATAAAGGTGGTGAATGTGGAGCTGCCCATTGAAGCCAACTTGGTCTGGCAGCTGGGGAAAGACCTGCTTAACATGTACATTGAGACGGAGGTGAGGCTTGAGTTCAGTGCTTTTTATCTTGGACTGTTTGGTTTGGACCTGTTGCCTATATTTATAACAGATAAATGACTGTAATTCTTTTCCATACCCCTAAGTTTTATATAGCTTTAGGGATTGGGAAAAGCCAAAACTAATGGTTTTTTAGCTTAATTTTTTTAATGTTTTGTTTGTATTTTTGCATCCTTATTAAAAAGATTTATACATTCTGCTGGGTATAAAATTGATTGCCTGTGTTCTTGTGAAGAAACAGGATGCCAGTATGTCTAAGCACCGAGCACAGTACAGCTAGCATTTCTATAAAACACACTGTGCTGCTCTGCAATCTAGAGGATGTGAAATAATTGAGATTGTTTACCTTGACTCAGATGGGAACATTGTGTTTAGAAATTCATTTAACAATAAATATAAATAACTTGACTCTGAAGCAGTTTATCCTTGATTTTAAAATGGTGGCAAAGGGGTCTGACCATTATCTATTGGCCAATATTATTCACCATATAAGACTACTGTATAACTGCATAAAAGAAAACAAAATTACGTAAAAGCCATCGATAGTTTTCACATTTCAAATTTAATACTAAAAAAAAAATGTAATTTTTTATATAACATTAAACCCCACAAACTATTTATGTGTATTTAGAAATGAATAATTTTTTCGGGTTTGTGGGAAGAGTTTTGAAGTATAAATTAGAACTGTTAACACTAATTTTTTTGGTGTAATTGTTGATTTTGTTGACATCAGAGTGTAAATAGTTAGCCTTTTCTGTTTCCTGACAGGGTAAAATGATAATGCAGGATAAACTGGAGAAGGAAAGAAATGATGCTAAAAATGCAGTGGAGGAGTATGTGTACGAGTTCAGGGACAAGCTGTTTGGGCCGTACGAAAAATTTATAAGTGAGCAGGTATGTTTAGAGCTATGTTTTTGTTCATATGATTTCAGATGAAGTGTTTAATATCAAACTTTGGCATTTGAACCTTTACCAGATTATGTAATGAGCTTTTTGGAAGCAAAACAACTTGAAATAGAAACTGTATAAACAAAGTTTTGGAGAGAAAGGCTCACTGAGAATGTGTGATTTTTTTGTATCCTGGTTTACCCCAATGACCGTAGTTTTTACTATCCAGAAGAAAGAGCCTATCAAACATTTTTTCAGAGTCCATGATATCCACAGTAATGGGACAGACAAGAAAGATAAGAGAAAATTCTTGCTTTCAGAGACCTCGAGTTTTTTTGTTTATTTGTTTCTTTATGACTCTGGCCCCTTGGTTGCTCTCAGTCATTGTTTTATCCCCTAAGACAGGTTCAGCCAGTCATTCCTAAGTTTATCAGGCACCACGATTCCCTTTCATTCTTGTCTGAGCTCACAAAGTCAGCATGACTTGAGTAAATCCCAGAAGCACAACTGTGAAGGGTGGGACTTGGGGAAAACATTGGCTAGATAAAAATTTGGGGTGGTTGAGGGCTTAATTCTGAAGTTAAAGGAATTTAAACTTAGGTGTTTATTTTATTCCTAAAATCTTTGGGCTACTTTGTAATATATTTCAGTTCATGGCTCTGTCCTAACATTTCCTGGATTTGCTGTGATTGAGGTTCTGAGGTAGATAGAGATAACCCAAACCAGGCTAGACCTCCTGAGGCTGGAGTAGAAACGCATGCTTTATGTGAATTGGCTAGGAATGGGTTTTTCATGTGTTCACTAATTGAATTGTCAACTTGTCTAGTTGCCCTTTTAAGTATTTGATAGTTGTGGAAGGGAATAGAAAGTTACTAAGATCTAATTGTTTTCAAGAGTAAGAAAATGATTGTTCTTCCATAACAATATTTCAGTGTGTAGATTGAGTCCAAAATTAAACTCCTGAGATACAATATTGTAAGTCAGTAAGAATCATTTAACAAAAAGTCTCAAATGTTCCTGTGCGAAAGACAGAGAAGCCAAAGAAGAACTAGCGCTCTCTCCTGTGAAACACTATGTGAGGCTAATAGTAGAGTGTGTGTTGTTCCTTGACACTTTTCAGTGAATAGAATCCAGCTAATCTGAGTGCCTTCCTAGAAATGAGATCAGCTACTCAGTGGTTAACTCTTCTGATGACGGCTCTCTGTATTGTTGGTTCTCATGTTTCACGTACAGGAGCATCAAAACTTTTTGAGATTGCTCACAGAAACTGAGGACTGGCTCTATGAGGATGGAGAGGACCAATCTAAACAGGCGTATGTGGACAAGCTGGAAGAATTAATGGTAAGCCCTCCTCTCCTCCTGGAAAGCAGTGCCTGTTTTTTAGACTATAGACTTAAAATATGATTATGACACGTATTAATTTATTACATTTTGTTTTAGAAAATTGGTACTCCGATTAAAGTTCGGTTTCTAGAAGCTGAGGAACGTCCAAAAATGTTTGAAGAACTAGGGCAGAGGCTGCAGCACTATGCCAAGATGGCAGCCGACTTCAGAAATCACGTAAGGCTGCTTGTACATCGTGAGGAAGTTACCCTAGGTTTTACTTTATTTTTTTAATAAGTCTTTATTCAATTACAGTTGACTTAACAATATTATATTCGTTTTAGGTGCACAACACAGTGATTAGACATTTATATACCTTATGAAGTGATTACCCCGATAAATCTAGTACCCATCTGATCACACATAGCCATCACGGTATATTTCTTATGCTGTGCTTTACATTCCCTTTACTACTTTGTAACTACAAATTTGTACATTTTAATCCCTTTTTTCACCCATCCCCCAACTCCCCTCCTATTTGGCAACCCATCAGTTTGTTCTCTGTATATATGAGTTTGTTTCTGTTTGTTCACTTATTTTGTTTTCTAGATTCCGCATATAAGCAAAATCATATGGTACTGGTCTGTCTGTGACTTATTTCACTTGTCATGGTTCCCCCTAGGTCCATTCGTGTTGCTGCAGATGGCAAGATTTCATTCCTTTTTATGGCTAATATTCCATTGTATATATGTGCCACTGCTTTATCCATTCATCTATTGATGGACACTTAGGTTGCTTTCATAACTTGGCTATTGTAAATTATGCTGCAGTGAACATATGGGTGGACATGTCTTTTCAAATTAGTGTTTTGGGTTTCTTTGGATGAATACCCAGAAGTGAATTACTGGGTCCTTCTTTGTCTTTTGTTACAGCTTTCATTTTCAAGTCTTATTTTGTCTGGTATAAGTTGTGCTACCCCAGCTTTTTTTTTTCTTCTCTCGTTTCCATTCTCACGAAGTATCTTTTTTCAACTCTTTACTTTCAGTCTGTGTGTGTCTTTCAATTTGAAGTGAGTCTCTTGTAGGCAGCATATGTGCGTGGGTCTTCCTTTTATATCCATTCAGACACCCTATGTCTTTTGATTAGGGCGTTTAATCCATTTACATTTAAGGTAATTTTTGGTAGATAGGTACTGTTTCCCCGAAAATAAGGCCTAGCCAGAAAGTAAGCTGTAGCATGATTTTAGGTGCCACAGTATACTGAACATTTTTAAGCTGAAGGAGCTTGTGGAAAAGGTATTCTTCTCCCTGAAACAGGTCATAAATCCCTCATGTGAGGGGTGTGTGCCCTCCATATCCTGGAGGAATGATGCTACGGCTTATTCTCCAGCTAGGTCTTATTTTGGGGGGAGCACAGTAGTTGTTGCCATTTTATTACTCATATTTTTTACCTTCTTTCATCTTAAAGAAGCCCTTCTAAGATTCCTTGTAATACTGGTTTGGTGGTGATGAACTCTTTTAGCTTTTTCTTGTCTGGGAAGCTGTTTGTCTGTCCTTCCATTTTAAATGATAGCCTTGCTGTGTAGAGTAATCTTGGGTGTAGGTGCTCACTTTTCATCACTTTGAATGTTTCCTGCCATTCTCTTTTGGCCTGCATAGTTTGTATTGAGAAATCAGCTGATAGTCTTATGGGAGCTCCCTTGTAGGCAACTAACTGCTTTTCTCTTGCTGCTTTAAAAAAATCTGTCTTTAAACTTTGGCATTTTAATTATGATGTGTTTTGGTGTGGGCCTGTCTGGGTTCATCTTGTTCGGGATTCTCTGCACTTTCTGGACTTGTATATCTCTTTCCTTCGCCAGGTTAGGGAAGTTTTCTGTCATTATTTCTTCAAATAGGTTTTCAATTCCTTGCTCTCTTCTCCTTCTGGTACCCCTTGGTGATGTGAATGTTGATATGCTTGATGTTGTCCCTGAGGTCCCTTAAACTAACCTCATTTTTTATGGATTTGATTTTTTTTTTTCCTGTTCTGATTGGGTACTTTCCGCTACCTTGTCTTCCAAATCGCTGATTTGATCCTTGACTTCATCTAATCTATTTTTGATTACCTCTAATGTATTCTTCATTTCAGTTATTGTATTCTTCATTTTCGACTGGTTTTTTTTTTTTATGTTTCCTGTATCCATTTTTATGTTTCCTATCTCTTTGTTGAAGTTTTTCCTGAGATCAGTGAGCATCTTCATAATCATGTTTTGAACTCTGCGTCTGGTAGGTTACTTTCTATTTTGCTTAATTCCTTTTCTGGGGCTTTGTTCTGTTCTTTTATTTGGGACATGTTTCTTTGTCTCCCCATTTTGGCTGCCTCCCTGTGTTTGTTTCTATGTATTAGGTAGAGCTGTTATGTCTCCGGGTCTTAGTAAAGTGGCCTTATATAGTAGGTGTCCTGAGGGGCCGAGTGACATTGTCCCTGGTCACCTGAGCCAGGTGCTCCAGGTGTGTCCCTTGTGTGGGTTGTGTGTGCGCCCTGCTGTTGTAATTGAGCCTTGATTGCTGTTGACCTGTCAGTGAAAGGGACTGACTCTCAGGCTGATGGGCTCTGAGGACTGGCCATGACTACAGTGGAGGAGCTGTTGTGCCAGTGCTGACCATACAGAGCAGGATTCGCTTTAGCAGGACTCTGGTGCCTGCCCAGTCTGCCCTTTGGGTGTGTCATTTGTGGATGTGGTTGGGTGGTACTTTGGTGTGGTCTCAAGCTGGCTACCAGTTGTGTTGGTTCTGGGGCCTCTTGGGAGGGCCTCTGGTGCAGGCCAAGGTCAGCCATGGCCTGTGTCCTGCCTGGGGCCACTTGGTATGAACTACAAAGTGATCTGCATATGGTTGCCACTTGTGCTGGGCTTGGGAGGTGCCTGGGAGAGGCTAAGCTGTGAACCAAGGCTAGTTGCTGCTGGTGCCAATGTCAGATGCTACTTGTTTGGGATTTGTGAACCTTTGAAAGATTTTAGGAAAGTCCTCATTATGAGCCAAGACAGGCTGTTTGTATGGGAAAGCTGCTGGAAGTAGGTTGGGTGGGGCAAGATCTCAGGGAATCACCAGGGGAGACAAATGGTGTTAACCAGTGTGATGGAGCCTCAGATATGCAACTTGCAGGGAGGGTGAGGGCTCAACAAAGAAATGATGGCTTCTACCAACTCCTCCATCAGGGAGGAAGCGGCCCCTCCTCCCCTTTCCCTGAAGGTCCCCGTTCGAGCTGCTGCCCCAGCGCTGGAGCTCAGAGCAAGTGAGTCCATCAGACAGTAAATCTGGCTGTGGGCCCTTTAAGAGGATTATCTGGGACTCCAGCCACCCTCCAGCTCACTCAGCCACAATCTCTGCTGGTTTTCACAGCTAGAAGTTATGGGGACTTCTCTCCCCGGCACTGAAACCCTGGGCTGGGGAGCCTGGTGTGGGGCTGGGACCCCTTGCTCCTCTGGGGAGACCTCTGTAGCCGAGCTATCCCTCCTGATTTTTACCTGCCACCCTGTGGGTGTGGGACCAACCACTTCAGCATCTCTGCCCTTCCTACCAGCCTCAAGGTGGTTGCTTCTGTATGTCCTTAGTTGTAGGACTTCTGTTCAGCTAGATTTGAGGTGATTCTCAATGATGGTTGTTTTGTAGTTTAGTTGTAATGCTGATGCATTTGTGGGAGGAGGCAAGCACAATGGTTACTTACTGCGCCACCGTGATCAGAAGCACCAAGCTATCCTAGATTTTGATAAGCTAATATTTAAGTTGAGGAACCTTTGTTGTGAACAGATGTTCTTAAATGAAAAATTTGAGACCAGAGGTAGATTTGAACTTCATGGAAAATTGGGTCAAATTAGTTATTACTGTTAAATGCTAAATTCTACTGAATAGCCATGCTTTTTCCATTCAGGATGAGAAGTATAACCATATTGATGAGTCTGAAATGAAAAAGGTCGAGAAATGTGTAAATGAAGTGATGGAGTGGATGAATAATGTCATGAACGCTCAGGCTAGAAAGAGTCTCAATCAGGACCCAGTCGTGCGTGCTCAGGAAATTAAAGCAAAAATAAAGGTGAGTGTTACGGTCTATTCAATGCTGTGTTTTCTCAAGTTGCAATCATTCGAACCTTAAACATCGCCATTTTTCTTATAAATCTTTTACCTCATTGTGAATGAGATCAGATTTCCTAGTTTATTATTGATACCACAAAATACAGAAGACCTTATAAGCTTCTGTTAAATTTCCATTTCATTTATTCATTCAGTTCAACAAATGTTGGAGTTTTAGGACAATACTGATTCAGGTGTATAGCAAAGCAGTCGGAGATGGACTGGACGGGTTGAGTCAATGTGATTCCTAGTTCTGTTTTCCTTTTTAGGAGTTGAATAACACTTGTGAACCTGTGGTAACACAGCCCAAACCAAAAATCGAATCACCCAAACTGGAAAGGACTCCGAATGGCCCAAATACTGATAAAAAGGAAGACAATTTAGATCAAGGCAAAACCAGTTTTGGTGCTGAACCTCCACATCAGAATGGTGACTGTCACCCTACTGAGAAGAGTTCCGTCAACATGGACTTGGACTAGATAACGTGAAATTGGCTTCATCCTTCAAGTAATAATAAAATATTTTTGCCATAGTATGTGACTTGACATAACATACTGAGACTATATTTTCTTTTTTAAGGATGTTTAGAAGTTCTGTGTATTATATGGAGAAAGAAAAAGCATAAGTCTGTAGTCTTTACGATCCTAAAAGGGAAAATTGCCTTGGTAACTTTCAGATTCCTGTGGAATTGTGAATTCATACTAAGCTTCTGTGCAGTGTTACCATTTGCATCACTGAGGATGAAATTGACTTTTGTCTTTTAGAGAAACTGAAACAGCTGTACTGATTGTCCAGGGCTGTGGGTAAAATCGATTGTTATGCCAAGGTAGTTTTCTTGCATTTTGCTCTCCGTTTCAGCATGTGTGTGGATGTTTATAAACAAGACAGTCTGATTTCAGAAGGGCTTTCTAAAATTCTGTCCAATTGAATATGACTTTTTGCTTTGATATTAAAAACGTATTGAGTAATGCAGATGCTAGTGAAATGTGTTAGCATGCAAAACAAAAACTTTAAAATATCTTGTTACACAGTACATTGTCATGTGAAGGTGTAAAATGGAAGAAATGTGGATTCTGTTTGTAACTGATATTGTGAAGCCTTTTATGAGCTTTAAAATAAAGTTCATTTTATGGTGTCATTTCTAAAAGGTTTTGTCACTGACTTAAAAATGTGATGGGGAGAGTGATACAAACTATTGTAGCAGAAATGAAGTCACTTTGTGTGAAAACCAGCATTCCGTTTCTGCTGTGCCTTACATACGCTCTTTTCTAAATGACAGTGACTTTCGCCTGATAGAAAAGTAGTGTATGTTTATTACATTTAAAATTCAAAATATGTAAAGTTGAATAACATATAATCCACCACCCAGAAAAAAGCGTGAAGTCTTACTGTATATCCTTCAAGCCTTCTCCTAACGAAAGTGTACTGTGTTGTGTGTGTGTCAGTGTGTCAGTGTCAGTATGGGTATTACAGTGGTGTGTAGGCTGCTTTTTAAAACTATACCAGGGAAATAAGTAAAAATAATCAGGTGTTAACTTCACTGCTGTGCTGAGTTCCATTAAAGACATATGTAAAACTACCTTTGACCAGTCCCAGTATTGGATTTAGGTGTTTCTTGAGTTTTTGCTGTTCTAAATAATACTGCGATGAATCTTACCCGGTTATTTTCCAAGGATGAAGTTGCAGTAGTGTTGGGGTGGGGTGAGAAGACTCACACACTTAAGGTGGGTAACAGGAAACCACACTGCCCACTGAAGCGCAAGTCTGGGCTCCTTCCACAGGGGCGAGGAATCTTTTAACTGTTGCCAGTCTCTTATGCCTACTGTTTAGCTACTATGGCTTAGATATCTCATGTAGCTTCACCCATGAGGTGAAGAAATTTCCAAGATCACATAGGAAACATCACAGTTGGGAGCAAACCTGGGCACTTCAGTTGCTCAAATGTTAAAGCCCACACCCCATTCCACACTAAGGGTCATCTTCATTTGTGTCTGGTGTGGTCGTCAACATTTTAAATTTTATTCTCCATTTGCAAAGTTGAATGTTGATTTTATATAACATGTTCTTCTTATTAAGGTTCTTAACCATTTATCAATGTTCAAACATTTTCCTACTTTGTAATTTCTTTTAACTTTTACCATTTAGAATTTTTATGTAATCTGCCTCTTGGTTTTTCTTAGGTCTAATGCACCCTAATATATACACTTAATGTGTGCAATGTACAGAGGGTGCCCAAAAAATGTATACACATTTTAAGAAAAAACTATTAAAATTGTAATAATATATACCGATAACACAAGATAAATACAAGTCAGGTGTACACATTTTTTTGGCACCCCCAGTATATACTCTGTACCTGCTGAGAGGTGAAAAGAGGGAGGTCTCTGCACAATTGGGAAGCTCATAAAAGACAAAGGTGGTTTTTTTTGTTGTTTTTTAAAGATTTTTTTTTTTTATTGGGGAATTGGGGGAAGGGGAACAGACAAGTTGCTGTCCTTTTGTTCTTCAGTCTAGTTGTGGAGGACGTTGCTTCACTGGCCCAAGTTGGCACCATCATTGTTCTCTTCCCGGGTGAGGCAGATCAGTCGCTGGATTCTGGACAGCTGCTCATGGCAGCTGCTAATCATTCACGCTGGCTGCTGGCTACACACGGTAGCCCATGGCAACCCACTGCAGCAGTGGCTGCAGCCTACGCCCTCACCGGCGACTCATGGCAGCTCAGCTCCAGGTTGAGCTGTTGTTCAGCATCTTAGCTGTGGAGAGCAGTGTCACTGGCCCTCATATGTGGGATCTGAACCGGGGCCCTCTGGTTAAGCCAGCTCTTAACCATTGCGCCACTCGGCTGGCCCGAAGACAAAGGTTTTTAAAATGGAAAAGCCATTTTCTTCTTCCCCCAAATAGTATCTGATGAGGGGGGAAATATCGGTCTGGCCTAAACCAGTTTTTATTAAATGTTAGAAATTTTTGGAAGCCTCACTTTTCTATAAAGATGAAGCAATATTTCAAAAAGTGGTGGCTACAGTTTGTGGACTCAGTATTGCATTTTTGGATGTGGGAAGAAAACATTGTCACTGACTTTTATAATATCATTGGCTTATGCAATTGTGATTATATATATGGACCAATTTGGATAAATGCTCTATTTAACCAGGGATTGAATTGAATTAAGTTTCACATAAATTGTCACTTTATGACAATACTTCTAAAAAGGTCTAGTCATTTTAATAATTGATAATGAACAGAATTGAACCTTGAGTCTAGTTCGTCATGAATGTTGGTTATGTCTGAACAGTGATTAACTTTTCTTGGGTAAAATCCCTGATGCTTCCTTGACTTTTAGTGTTCTTAATTGCGCATGAAAAGGAAGTTACGTGCCTCACTACAAAATAGACAATTGAGAGTTCTCTTCCAAGAGGCCTGAGAATAAACTTTAGCGACTGTTGTCTGGTTTGCCTTCAGCAGCAGCATCTGTGATAGTTTTTCAGAATTACCACTTGTCAGCTTATACCCAGACTTCTGTCTCGCGGTGGTACTTGCTGTGGAGGAATATCTCACTTTCTGTAATCAGCACAAAACAATTGTGTCATACTTGAAAAAGGAGACTGAATCTTAGTATTTTTAATATTTGGAGAGAGCTGCTTTGTCCCTGTTGAGGAATCTGGTGGGCAGGCTCCCCGGGGCCTGCTGCTGGCTGTGGTTTTCTCAGGGACCAAGCTTTGCTAGCCTTGGGCACTTCCTAAAAGACAACTGGTCAATATTAGTTGTTTCTGAGTGTTTGTATTTGCTTTGTAAATCGAATAAGCACATGTGACATTTGAAAGCTCTAGGGTAATCAGCTTTTCCAGTCACTAGTGATTTTATTTTCTCAGAATTGCTGCAATATAGTGTGGGTCTCTGAATTATCCTACCTAAGGATGGGTGGCAGTAGGGTTCGTAGTGGAAAGAGCACCTTTTTGGGGAGGAAAAGATTTGGTTTCACATTCAAGGGCCCAGACTGTGCTGTCCCCACCCCAAGCCCTGTGGTTTTTAGCAGATCATCCGACTTGTCTGAATCTCCGTTTCCTCACCCAAGTCTATGTAACGTGACGTTGGCTGAGTCTCTGATGTGGACTCCCCTGTGGCCAGTTTCTCAAACTCAGCACCATTTGGGGGTGGGGTTGGGGGCAGAGAGGGGCTCCCCTGTGCATGCTTGACAGCATCCCTGGCCTCTACCCACTAAATGCTATTAGAGGACCCTGTTGCCACAACCAAATATGACCCCTGCCCTTTGAACCCCTGTTCCAGGGAAGATTACTTTGAACTTGAAAATTATACTAGGGGTGCCAAAAAAATATACACAAGTGGACACTTGGGTCAATATTGCTCAAGCAAAAGTATTTGCCGTAATCAGAAGTGTCGACGCTGATGATAACCACTTGGAGCACCTCTTGTAATTGCAGAAGTCAAACATGACTTGTATCCATCTTTTGTTATCGGTATATATTGAGTACTACAATTTTGATATAGCTTTCCTTTCTTAAAATGTGTATACATTTTTTGGCACCCTCTGTGTACAGAGAGAAGGAGTCAAGACCTAATGCCTTCCAGAGACCCTGCACTGTGCTAGGTGTTTCCTGGGTTTCACAGTAGTCCTGAGGAGGGTATTCTTCCCCCTCCCCGTTTTACAGGTGGAAAAATGGGGTGAAAGTCTGACCAAGGTCAGTAGGAACATAGATGTGACTGACTCCCAAGTCTCTTGTCTCTATGGTAGCAGAGTGGTGACAGTTAGCATGCACTGACCCAAGTGTGAAAAAACATCACTGAAAACCATGGGAGGGCTTAAAATCTATTTTCTGAATTTCCACAACTCAACCATAGGGTGAGGGGTGTGGAAACGAGGGCCATGCACAGAGCCCAGGAGAGAGCAGGCTGCACCCGGAGTTACAGGCTCCCTCTTCGCAGTTCAGCCTCACCTACTCACGTGGGCAGACAGACTCAGTTGTGTTAATTGTCCTTCCAGCTCAAGTGCCTGGCATAGGGCTTGCACTTAGCTGGCACTCAGTCAGTATTTGTTGACCGACTAATGGAGGTTCAAGTGGAAACGCTCAGAAGGCTTGATGTTTAAGAAGCAGGGCAGAGGGAGAGCTGTCAGGAAAGAAGGACGGGCCTGGAGAGCTGGGAGGAGCGCCGGGCCTGTGGGGGTCTCAGGAGCCAGAGCAGAAGGGGACCACAGGAGGTGGTCAGCGGGGAGTGCGGCAGAGCCCCCAGGGACGAGGACCAGATGTGCCCCAGAGTTGACCACACAGGGTCTGTCACAGGACCAGCAGCGCTGGTTTCTGACAGCTGTAGGAATGAGCCCGAGGGAACACTGTTGGGGGAACTCGCCCACGTGGAGAATCGGGACAGCCCGTGACCAATAGGAGCAGTGACTCAGTTCTAGTGCCCGCACGCATTCCACAGCAGCTGGGGCAGCTCGAGAGCTGCGTAGCTGCGCGTCAGAGGACATGTTCTCTTTGCTCAGCCCTCTTGGTCTTCACATGTCTTTTGTCCCCTTGAGGGATCTGGCCCTGGAAATCAGGCACCTGCTTCAGCCACTGGCATTAGCAACAGGAAGAACCCAACAATGGAGCCAGCTGGGTGGCACAGTTGGTTAAGAGCATGAGCTCTGAGAAACAGGGTCACCGGTTTGATTCGCATATGGGCAAGTGAGCTGCAGCTGAGCTGAGCTGCGGCTGAGGCAGGATGGCTCAGCTGGTGAGAGCACTCCTAACAACCAAGTTGCTGGTTCGACTCCCACATGGGATGGTGGGCTGCACCCTCCACCCCCCGCAACTTGATTGAAAGTGGCTGCTGGACTTGGAGTTGAGCTTGCACTCTGCACAACTAAGATTGAAGGACAACAACTTGACTTGGAGCTGATGGGTCCTGGAGAAAAACAATGTTCCTCCTTCCCAACACTGTTCCCTTCCCCAACTCCCCAATAAAAAAATCTAAAAAACAAAAAGAACCCGCCAAGCATCCCAGGTCCTTCTTTCTGGCCATCTGAGGTTGCCCAGTTCTGGCCCCACTGCCCCTGCCTGTTCCCCATGTAGGACCCTCCTAACGAGCTCACTTGCTGCTGGGAACCACCTGCCACCCAGCGTTTTACCCAGAGTGAATTTCAGACCG